AGAGTGTTCTAACTTTAAACAGTTAAAAAAATATATAAAATAAAGAAAAAGTACTTCCAAGGGGATACTCCATATTTATAACTGTCAAAAAAAGCCCTAATCTTAATGACCCAAAGACTGCAGCCATGATCACCCTGCTCACAGTAGTGACCCAGGGCTCCAATTTTATGCACTATGTCCTGCAGGTAATTAATTTAAGAGATATATAGTTTAAGGTGTAACTGTCTCTCATATTGCACAAACAAGAGCAGCTCAATAAAAATCATTGTGGCAATTTATGTTTCTTATCTTTTTTACAAAGTATTCATAATATTCTGTTAAGTCCCAAAAGGTAGAGGCTTGAACTGTCCTACTTTGTTTTCTTTTTTTTATATGGTTCTGTATCTATGTTGCAGCATGATAAAGAAAATTATGAAAACTGAGTATACTGACAAAGATTCCTTATAATGTTTTAAGAAATTAAGAATTGATGAGATGTTGCATTACAGGTCAAATGCCTAAAAGCTTTTCCCTCTGAATGTTTAATGTATATGTATTTGGTAGCCCTAAGATAGCATGTGATCCTATCTTTACCTGAGTAAGCCAGAATCAGTCAAAGTGGCTTAAACAGAGACATGTTGACTTTACTACCTGATGGATTGATCCATTATAACATAAAGTAACGTAACATAACGTATTTGTGTATTAAATTCTCAATACTGTTTATAAGAAATTCAGGCCATGACTCGAGATTGTACCCTTACAATTAATAATTATTTCCATCTTTCAGGAGCAGAATCATACTAAAGCGGGAAAGGAGAAAGCAAAAGGTAAACAGTTCTTCCCATCTTGGATTTTATATTGTTATAGTTGATTCAATTAGGAAAAACTTCCAAAGCATTTGGAGTGAGGTTCAAAACTACAGCATAACACTTATAATGTGTTTGCCTGACTGCATGTAACTTTTAGGGCAGAAGTCTTGTTCTGAATATACTACACTGAACTATAGCAGGAGGAGGAGAGGGTAGGAGAAGGCATGAATGAATAAATGTGCCCAGTTTCAGTTTTACTGAATTATTTCTGTTACTATATTTTGTTGGTATGTGCTGACACACAGGATTGCTTGGAACCTCACAGTGACAACCACGAGGTCAGCTAGCCTAGCACACATACACACAGCTATTTTTCTGGGCTACATAAAAGAATACTGGGCTCACTGAAGTATTTTATTCTGGCATTTGCAAAAGTAGGGCAGCTTATTTGCGTTTTGAATCTGAAAGTGAAATAATAGAATCAAATTTATCCCTGGCATAGCAGGAAACATTGCAAACAGGAAAGGGGCGGGGGGGGCAGGGGGAAAGGAGAAGATAGTTAGAACCATAGTTTAGTCAGTTTGCTCCTCAGCAGCTGGTAAAAAAGAGACAGTATAGGGAAGTTCCACCACTGAAGCTGTTACCAATGCCCAGAGCAGATGCACTGGCATATACAGGAAGAGGAAAAACAGACTGACAGCATGGAAATGATCTCTCACATGAAAACCTTTAAGGGAATGTAGGAGCAACCAGCAGCTTGTTGCCCACAATGCCTTCCCAGTCTCCTGGGGGCCCATGAGTGCTCAAAATACCTGTTTACTGAGGGGTTTATTGGTCTAAGCCACATCATTTACATTACAACTACATAATTTCCTTCTGTGGAGGAGAGAAAACAGGAAAGTATCCAAGACAGGATTGTGTTTAGTAACTTAATGCTAAACTACTTAACACAGTGGTAATTTTGTAATTGCTATTACACAGTTAATACTAATTTAGTAATCTCAATGTGATGGGAAGAAAATATCTGGAACATTGAGGGGACATGGGTACATTTTTGGGGTGTGGACTCCAGAAAGCTGAGGATTGTTGTATAATAATTTATACAGGAAAATAGTTGCCAACAAGCATCTTGAATATATTAGTTACATGTAACCTGCAAACATGAGAGGAATTACATTTCAGAAGAAATGCTATTTTGTGTTTTGGCATAGCCTTCAGTTTTCAATATCCTTCTTGTGGTTAAAATAAAGAAATCTTACTGTTTTGATTTATTCATCTGCTGTGCTTGATAGTTATGTTTTTAGGATTATTATTAATAGTTTCCTATAAAATGGAGATTTTTGTTTCCTAAATTTTCCAGAATTTGTGCCTGATATATTAAAACTGTTAGTTGTATCTCTTTCTGTTCCTTGCAACAAAAAGCCTTTCCAAAGTCTCACTCTTAGAGATTTTTCCTCTTTATTTTTTTTATCTTTTATTTATTTGTTTGTTTGTTTAGGGGGGGGTGTTTGTTTGTTTTGGTCACAAGAATATTTCCTATGACAAGAAAGACAAATTTGGAGAACAATAAACTTCTCATGTCCTTATAGATTTTAGCTGATAAGCTTCCAAAAAAGTAAAATTTAAATTTTTAAAGACTTTTCTTTGAAGCATTTTGGTATGTCCTTTATTTTAAAGAGAGATTTTAAATGATCTTTCACAAAGGCATGAATGCTTCAGGACTAAGTTTTGGGCATCAAGAGAACAATTATTTATTTTGAATATGAAAAAAATTATATTTGCAGTCTTTTTTTAAGGTAGTAAAAGTAAATTAAGTAACAGTAGGCAGGGTGTGAGAACTCAGAGATGCTTAATTTCCTTTTATTATTAGGAATTGTTTCTTAAGTCTTAACCTATTCTCCCTTTAAAAAAAAATTAGGAATTCTTTGAAAAGAAGAAACTTAAATCAAAAATGAAGCTTCTGGGAGTATCATCTCCTAAAAGTTCAGCAGTCAGTTTAGATCTTCTCAATCTGTATGTTGTTAACCAGATATCAACCAAAAAAGACCACACTGGTGAGTGGAATGTAACAGTGTTCTGACTTCACAGTTAACAGAGTCAGTTATCTTTAGCTATTAGTTCTATTATTTTAGTTCTTGTTCTTCCACTAATAACTTAATGCTCAAGTGTTGTTTTATTTCTAAAATAAAAAATTAAATTGTAAGTAAATAGAAACACTATGATTTAATAAAAAGTCAGGACATAAGAGAAAACAAATAACCTTGGCTACTGCCTACTTCACCTTTAGAGCCTTGTACACTTGGGCACCTTCCTCCTTCCATTCATTAATTTTTCCTTTTCCATTCATTAATTTTTACATCCATTTCTTTTTGCCTTTGCCATTGAATGGGTCCATTTGTATTCAATTTCTTTTCTCATAACTTTTGGGAGGCATTTGGAATATTCTCTCAGTTCTACCCAAAGTATCTGTCTCAAAATCCATCATTAAGATCCTAAAAAAAGATCTCTACAACTTACAAGAGTCCTAACTCTTATCCTCTGTGACATATCCATAAACCAGATCGTGGAGAAGTTGTTGTCCTATGCTCAGGAAGATTAGAAGGTGACTGAGGAGGGCAACAGAGCCTGTCTACACAGAGCAGCTGGCTGTAAATAATTTTATACTACAGTGCAATTTAGAATAGAGCTCTTGCATTGCTAGTAATAAAGAAAGTAAAAAATATGGCTTTAAATTGATTAATAAACTTAAAACAATAACTTTTAAACGCTAATTTAAATTCAGGAGGCTCAAAACTTTCTCCAGGCCCAGCACTGACATTCCAAATACTTTCCTTGCAGAGAACATCAGGAAACCAGTCCACATTGATATCACTGAGGATGTAAAAATACCTCTTAAAAGGCACAACATAGAGCTTCCCATGTCACCACTAAGAACACAGCATATGCCAAACTTAGATGACATCCAGAACAGGTACTTGTATAAAACAGGCAGTAGTCAAGCTTTAAGGAAGTTCTAGAAAGGGATTTCATCGTGGTCTTATACTTGTGGTATTGAGTAAACATAAACATACCATTCTAAGATGAAGAAGTTTCACAATCACTCCGGGCATTCCAGTGATACTTTTACTCTGAGATGGTAAATAAATGTATTCTAAATAAAAAACTGTATATGAAGCTCAGAGATTTAAAAAAACCCAAACCTTTCTTTACTCCTATCAGGTACATACAGTAAGTTTGTCTTGCAGAGCAGTCTATTCAAACACCATTTTCCACTTACAGTTTTCCCAACCAAATTCAGACATCCTGAAGTGACTGACTCAGACACTAGTGCTTGTAACGGCTTAAGAATCAGTCCTTAAGATGTGTGGAAAAATATTATTAAATTATTTTCAAATTAATACTAGGAATGTTTTTATTCTTCTAGATCTTATATGTTGTATTTCATAGGCTTGTTTTTATTCATTTTACAAGGTTACAACAGCAAGTATTGGACAGCAGAAGGCAGCATCTCTCAGAGAAAGTAAAATACCAGCATCATGTAAGGAAGTTAATTGTTCTCACTGATGTAAAGCTAAAAATGTGCAGCAATGACTGTATTTTTAAGTGATTTTTCAAGGAGTAACCAAATCTCATGGATACTGAAACATTCAAAGTGTTTCTCTTTAAGGCTATACTGATATATCATATGCCAGTCATATTTTAATAGAAAATGTTATATTTGTTCCTGCCATTTTTTACATATTTCTTGAAAGGCTCACCTTCTTTTAGGCATTTTCTATAATACTTCAGAATATCTGTGATCTAAGCTAGTCACAAAGTACAAAGATTATGGGAAAGACACTGAAACAAACAGCTAGTAAATTTTTAAACAATATGCAGAAATATGAAATGATGAAATGTGAGAAGCACAGACAGAAGTGAGTCTTCAAGAGGAAGTACAAGTCTCAGTGGATATCACTGAGAAGTGCATACACTTATTGAGGTTACAGGGAAAATCTTTTTCTTGAGCACAGAGAGGATATATTTCATATTTAGTGTGGCCAGAAATAATGGCTTAAGATGCTAGCTGAGTTTGTCCTAAAGCTCCACTTGTAGGGATAGATTTACATGAGTTCATAAAAATGTGTGCTAAAATCTGCACACACAGAAACCTAATTTAATGTATGGATCAAAAATTAAAGTTCAAAGCCTATATGTTGCAAAGAACTGGTTTTAAAATTGTCATAAATTTAAGTATATCCAATTTAAGTAATTAAGATATATCCACTTGATTTAGAAGAAAGAATGGCTATACACTTAATGATTTCCAGCTTTCTGGAACTGTATGGTTTAATGGGACAAAGATTTTGTGCAATTAATGTACAAGACTTCTGCACTCTGTAGTTTGTGCTGCTTTTCATAGATAAGCTGGATTACAGGCATTACTTCCAAGCAGCTGTGTATACAGTGACATTTCATGAGTTTTGCCTTCAAATTTCTCCTTGTGTTCTGATCTGAGTGAGATAGCATTCTTGGTATCACAATATGCTGGAGTTCTCAATGGTGTAAAATATTTTTCATCTTACTACTTAAGAACCAAGTCAGCAGATTATCTGTCTATACATCTAAGGAAAAAAATGTATGTGTACCCATTTCTGCTCAGGATAACATTTGTGGGCAGGCTTCAGCTAAGGTAGGTACTTAGGTGTTTCCCTGAAATAAGCCCTTATTACCCTATGTTTTTCATGAAAAAGTCATATCAGAATACATGAAAATCTGCTCTTGCATGTGGTATATGTGCAGAGGTGTAAAATAGATAGAAATATTTTATTACTTTGAACTTCATGCTTCTATCAAAACAGTTTCAGATAAATAAAATATCTCCTTGCTATATTTTGTCTAGTTGTCCCAAGTAACAGAATTAAGGTATGCTGAGTCTAGTATGGAACATGAAGACAACATGGCAAGACAGTTTAATGCCTGCCCGTTGTCCCCTTCTGTTTTTTGGTCCTCTAACTCTACACAGTTTTCTGAAGAAAATTTCAACACAAACCCAATGGGCAACACTTGGGAGCAGACCTATGAAAAGAAGCTGCAAAACCAGGTTTGACTAATATTTTGTCATTTTTAGCAGAATTATTTTAAACAAACTTTCATTTGTTTGGTGTGGAGAGTTAGTGTTAGGGTGAAGATAATTACATTTCTTGTAGGCTGGTGATGATGAATATTCCATAAATACAATAATATTTATTTTGTTGTTATGAAATACACTTAATGAACTTTTGTTCACTGAGCATCCAGTATTGCTGATATCTGCAGAAGGAAGGGCAGCAAGGAGAACTTCTATAGGTATATCATCAGCAAAAGGAAACCAAGGAAAATACTGTCCACCAATAAACAGAGTTGATGACCTAGTGGCAAAGGAGATGGAAAAGTCTGAGGCACTTGAGACCTACTTTGCTCCAGGCATTTCTGCCGTCTGCTCTCTAGCATGTCTTCAAGCTCAGTAGAGAGTATGAGGAAGAGTGGTACAAAACAGTAGTGAAGGATCAAGTCAGGGAATCCTTAGTAGCTTGGTCATTAAAAGTGCATGGGACTGGATAGGGTGCATCCAAGTATATTGAGGAATTTGGATGACACCACTGCAGGGCAGATGTGTATCATCTTTGAAAGACTGTGGTGATCAGGAAAGCTTCTCAGCTCTGTCCCTGAAAGGACTCTGGAACTTGATGTCCCAGAAGCAATTCCAAGGTACAAGAAGAACAAGAAGGCGTCTGGGAACTGCCAGCATAGATTTTCCAAGGCCACACTCTGCCTGATGAACCTGATTGCCTTCTGTGATGAAATGTCTGGCTCTACGAATAAGGCAAAGCAGCAGATACTATTTACCTCAACTTTAGGAAGTCTTTTTACAAGGTTTCTCATGGGACCCTAGTAGCCAAAGCGGGGAGGTATGAATCAAAGGAGTGGACACTAAGATTGTTAAAAAACTGTCTGTTGCCACCATGCTCAAAGTAGTTGTCTATGGGCTAAAGTCTATTGGCAACAGGTCAGTAATGACAGGGATCCCCAGAGATTAATACCAAGCCTGGCACATCTTCATTAGAACTCTCGTTGCACAATGAGATGGAATGCACCCTTATCACATCAGCAGGTTCATGCTTGACACCAAATTGGCAGAGTGATAATTACAGTAGCAGGGCTGCTACTCAGAGAGACCTTGATAACCAGGAGGTCACCAGGAACTTCATAGAGTTTAACACAGAGGAATACAACACCCTGCACCTCAGAAAAAATAACCCCACACATTAGTGTAGGAGTGGACTGACTGAGTAGGCAGCAATTTTGCAGAGAAAGCATGCATATTGTTTATAAACCAAACCTTAAAGTTTAAAACACTGTAACTATTACATATATCCAGAGTTTGACAGCTTCTACTGTTTTCTTAGCGAGGAAATAGTTCTGATCAAGACCCTTGGACCACAAAACCTCCAAGCCAATATATGTTCAGGAAGTCTGACACTGTGCCTCAGGAACTGTTTAAACCATTGCATAGGTAAGCAGTGATTTTTCATTACAGAGAGAAATAACAGTCAGGTTTAAGTAAGAAAGATACTAAGATAATCTAAAACCTACTGCTACTTGGTATTTCACTGAGTTTTGATGATTTTCAAGTAGAAATTGAAGTTAAATAGAAAGACTGAATATACCTAGGTATTGACATTTGCTGGAAGGCAGCAAAAGGTGAATTTTAGGAAGGCACTTGGAACCTTGGTCACACCACTTGCAACATCACACATGATGGTGATACTGAATCCACCCCGAGTAAGTAGCACAGATTTACTAATAGTCCACAGGGCAGGTGGCTGTCCCAGCTCTCATTAGTGCTGGTCACTCTTGCAAGTGCTTTTTTTATGACCGTGATACTGTAGCAATTGAGCAACTTTTCCACCTACCTTGTTTACATTTGGGATTCCAGGAACCAAGAATTTTTCCCCTTCTCTTTCATATGTGATCCTACAACAGCATTTTAAATTTAAATTTTATTTTAATTTTTTAGAATTGTTTCAATAATACTTTTATGAGAATATACACTTAAAAAAAAAAAAAAAAAGAATGGTTAGAAACCTAGAATATATTTATTTTTGCATGTGCTGATTAAAAATCTTTTTAATCAGAGAGTGTTTAGGGCCAGATACATTTATACTGAACATTTTATTTCAGTTTCTTTCCAGGGGCTCTTGCCTGAGTCTAGGGGTCTTACAGGGCTAATCTTTCTTTACTCTTTTTATTCTGTTAGTCTGCTATCTCATTGAAAGTTTCTAGCAGTCTCTAGCTTAGGCTGGAGAGAGCCATAAAAAGGCTGTATATATTATTTTGCTGTTCCCAAAGTACCTACAGCCTGTTTGCCTGGGGAGTCAAGTGACTGATAAGCTCACTGACCACATGATAACTGCATGAAGACATCAACTTCCATTCTTAGTCCCCTTAACTTTCTCTTTCTGTCTTCTCTAGTTTCTCCCAGCTTTCTCCAGCAAAATCTAAAATGAGGATAACATTCACCTTGCTGTGTATTTTGGTGAATACCTGATGAGTATATTTACATTAAAGACCTATGTAACCTTATCTCACCTGCATCTTCCTTTTCATATCTTCACAGCCTCTCAGGCCTGCACTTGTCTGCTTATGGCACCTGCCTTAGTCCTCTGCCCATTCACTGACAGCATCTCCTTTCCAACTGTTCTTCAAATCCATTTCTTTGTATCCTCCTTATTTTGTTTCATTCATTATAGACATAAAATCTTCTGCCTCAAGAGCTGGCAGTTCTCCTGGGAAGGGAGTTTCTTTTGCTTTGTGTGAAAAGTAGAGTATAAACTCATATAATCTTTTAATGTAATTGTAACATACTGATTATGTAATAAATATGCATATATCTGAGAGCTGTGGCACCTCGAGATCATTAATTATTAACTAAAAAAAATAGGTATCTTATAAAAAGAGCAGGTGTCTTTCACTCTGAATAGTACTTAGCTATTTCTTAATCTATTAACTTTTTCTTAGAATTACCAAATGTGCAGCTGGAGTGACAAAGGAGCCTCTGAATTGCTCCACGGAATGTTCTTACTTTCCTCATGTAGATGTATCCAGGTTTCTCTAGAAACAAAGTCTCGTGTGTTTAGCCTTTTAAAAGTCTTCTACATAAGGAGAGAACACTGCTTCCTCATTTAAGTTCTCTAGAATCTTCATCCAGTTCCAAGTATTTGCTGATCAATACAGATTTATTTTTTTTCTAGTAAGAGTTTTCTGAACTACATTTCAGTTTTCAAGTTCCATTGATAACATTCCTCAAATATTTTTTTAAAGGGCATTTTTTTTTAATGGCCACCTTTGCCAGTTCTCTGTGCTTCAGAAGGCTCTCAACTTTTTGCTGAGATTCTCTAGAAGTTCAGTCAACGGATCGAGCCTAGAAAAAACAGTGAAAATGTTAGATTAAGAGCCAAGTAAGTGAAAGCACAAGTGCTTTCACGCTGCTGATTCTAGCATGCTAGCATCTTCAAACCCACTACTGTCAGAAGGTGGGTAGGGAAATACAGGCAAAACAAAATGTCTGACTGGCTTCCTGACCATAGAATAGGAAACTCCTGTACTGCATTAGGATTACTGATCTCAAGTACAGATGGAAGTCAGTTGCTAAAGAGGAATTAAGCAGTACATAGAGATTGTTGTTGTTGTTATTATTGTTGTTATTATTCCCTTTCAGTAGAGGAGAGAACTGTAGTGTTAAAGAACAAGCTATTTTTATCAGCAGAAGAAGCTGTCTTCCTCTTTTTTTTCCTCCCTTTTTCTTCCTCCCTTTTTCTCTCTTTTTTTCTCTCTTTTTTTTTCCCCCCGAAGTGCCCTGTTTTGTTCAGCTGGTGGAGCAGCAGTGACATGCTGTGGCTGATTTTATAAATCACAGTTCCTTACTCAGGATGTGCTCCATGTCTTGCTATGTTGGGAGACATCATGAATCAGAACCCATTTTAAATCAACCTTACTATAAAGGGGAAATAAAACACAGGACACTTTGCTAGTTGAAATAATGTAAGTTTGGGATAAAAGCAAGTGTGTCAAGCACTAAAGTATTTGAGATTTTTATAATTAATAATAATTTGTTTTGTTAGCAGTTTGTATTTTGCTTATTTATGTACTGAGCAAACTGTTTTTTCTTTTCTACACCTCCCCCTCATACCTCACCCACCACCCCCAGGCTAGACTATATGAATTCTGCCAGGAAAAATCCAGTGATAATGCCAAGTAATGAATCAGAAACCAGTGAAGGAATAAAAGAACTGTTGTTTGATGCTGTGAAAGAAAGTGCAGAACTGAAAGCTCCCCAAGATGGAAGTGATTGTTCCTTTCTGGCCGTGTTTGAAGACGAGAGCCAACCAATCCATAATATTCCTTCCACAAAGCATTTGAATCTTTTTGTTAACCAAAGCAATAGGGCCATTTTTTCCACTGATCCTGATGATAGAAATAAAATGACCAACAGAAATTATTGTTATGTTACCAGAGAGGCCTATTGTGCAATGAATGCAAAGAACAGTTCTGAAGACAGACATCTTGAAGGCATTTTCACAGCTCCAGAACAGCTGTTGTTTAAAAGTAACAGTGTCTCAAGTGCAAGCTACAAGAAAAACAGTGGACTTCATAAAACTCACCTGCAGGACTGTTATGAGGGACAGCAGTGCTTCATACCTTCTGAAACCGAAGAAAAACCTGCAAACCTTGAAAAAATAGGTGAGTGTAAGTATTTTAAGGACATACATTCTGATTTTTATTCTCCTTTTAAAAGCATATGTTTTTATAAGCAGAGATCTGTCTGCCCTGACCAAAACCATTTAATGAATCTTCAGAATGCAGCTATTTAATTTTAAATAAAATTATATGAATTATTCTAAAAAACTGACAAAAGCTTTTATTTCAATTATATGATTGCATTTAGAAATCAAGGTTTACTTTTTTGTTTTAGAGACATATGCTTATCACTGTGATCAGCAGATCAACCTGAATGAGAATGTACAGAACTATTCCAGAAAACAAAGGTGAGTTCCATAGAAATTATCCATTTATTAACTAATGACTATTGCAGAGACCTTGCTGATTTGGAGAAATCCTGCTAAGAGGACATGAAGGCATAATTCTAAACAGTATTACTGAGGATACAACTCTTCCCAGTGAAACCAGTAGTGAGTAATGTGAATAACCTTATGTGTATGTAACCCCTTTGTACCATTGTTCATCTGCCTATAATAAGTACAGAGAAAAAATGCTTCATCGGACAGCCTGGAGTCCCTGAAGTTAAGCTGTTGCTCTGACTTGCCCTCTAAAAGACCCTGTCTCCTCCCACTGACTATAGAGGAAGTTAATGTCCTTCCTGAGCTAAAGTTAGCATATGTGTGTGCCCCATGTTTTACAAAACACAGTTTCATTGAATACTGATCCATAACACTTTCCATTTTACAAAGCAGCACTATCTTCTGTCATTGACCATGTAACGTTTTGCATTTCAACCCAAGTGAATTTTGTGAAAAACAGGTTCTTGGTGTTAAGTCTCAGGCTCAGAAGTAATCCAATTATCTCAGCAGTGGGAAGCATTTCATGGTTGCTGAAGACAAAATAAAAACTGAAGACAAAAAAGTCACAAGTAATGACTTTAATCCAGAAAAAAAAAAAAAAAAAAAAAATGGAGAGGAGGGGAAATCACTTACCAAAGAACTCTGTGTTTGCATCCCTCAGTGATGATGAGTCTGTGAAAGAATCAGCCTGGAGACAGAGACAGCTCTTTGGATTCAAAGAGGTAACTTTTAAAAAGACGTGTTTTTTTTTGTCAAGCCTATTGTTTGCACCATTCATTTGAGGTAGACGAGGAATGTCCTCAACAGTTAGAATGTGAATTTAGCTTCACTGAATTAACTTCTGTGGAAGCTTCTTTTCCATCATAGTTTATATATGAAATCCAGAAAAAACAGCTTCTAGTTAAGTGGTTCAGGTAGTCCTTTCAGGTCCATAATTTACCCAGTTTGATTCACACCTAAGCTGATGCCTGAAATCCATTGTGCAAGTTACCCATTAACCCTTAGGGTCAGATTCTCCGTGCAGTGCCCAGATACTATATGCAGGACACTTCAGTATTGCAAAGGAGCTTCATGCCATTATACATATATAGAATCTTTCAGATATTTTGCATGTAGAAGTCACTAAGGCACATATAATGTTGCCCAGGGGTTTTCTACCTGTTCATATTTTTGGTACAGTGCAGTGACTCCTTGATGTAAGATAGAAACCAAATGTTTTAAACTGAGGTGCTGATCCTGATGAACCCTCACTCACTATTAACAATTATTTTCAAAAGTTCACAACAGCACGAGAGAAGGAGTATAAGTCTGGAACGAGTTCAAATCTTCAACAGATGCAGAAAGGTTAGTACCATTTATACATTATTATTTTTAAAAATCGGATTTTTCTCTAAGTGTGAGATGAAACAGTTGCTTTTAAAGCCAGAGAGAAGTGTTTTGATCTTTTTAGGACGTAGCATTTGATGAGGGCTTGTATTTTTTATTCACGAAGCACAGTATAAAGAAGACTAGCATTACCAGGTAACTAAGAACTATCTGTATTTGTTTTCCCTTGAGGAGATAAATTCAGATTAACTTATTTTTGGTGAGTATTACACACACAGTTTTCACTGTCCCATTTCCTCCAAAGTTGTTACCAAAACTGAAAAGTCAGCTCTGAAAGTAGGGGCAACTGTTAAAAAGATTAAATCCATGAGAGAAGTAAATAGAGTATCAATCTGAGCACCAGAAATCAAGTTTACTATCACCATATAGTAAAAGTGCCAAGAAAATGCTAGTTATTTCCATTATTTCTAGTCCTGCAGACCTCTGATGATTGGAAAAAAGCTTGGACATGTTTTCTGTATTAATTAATATAATCATTAGATATTTGACATGTGCCATTTTACTGGTCCAGTCTTTACTAGTCTTTATTCTCTTCCACAAGGCTATATGTTGTCATTCCACATGTGGACAGAATGAAGGGAGCAGGGAGGTCCCATGTCCTTTTTGCTCCCTTGGTAGCTGAAGGGGCAGCTGCACTGGCTGCATTTCAGAGCAGAAAGACTCCCAAGGGCCTCCAAGAGAAAAACATGGCCATACGCCCATGCAGCTTTTATGGCAGCCAATGTGTGCAGGAAGTTTTGCTGCCCTCTCTCCCTGCATTCTGCTCTGCAGAGTCCTTCCTCTTTTTGGGTAGCACAGTTCTGCTGCTGGTGCAGGCTGCTGATCAACAGCACAGCTGAAGATCTGGAGGACCTGTCTGACACAGTCTGTTGAGATGCATTGTCCTGAAAGGAGAATTTGCTATTGCCAAGAACTTCACTAATACTTTAAACAATATCTTAAAACTGCATCAGAAGTAGGAATGTATAGTTCTACATGCTATACTTGAAAACTGGATGTTTGAGGAATATTTGGTGAATACATTTTTTTCCCCCTGTTCATCTGTTTTTTCAGATGTGGAGTCACCACCCAGCAGCCAGTCCCCCAGTTACTCTCCAAGGCAGACAGAGAGCTGTTTCAGCTCCAGTCCTGACACAGTGAGTACTGCCCCTTCATGGCTTTGCAGGGGTTCATTTGAATCATCTCTGAGTGTATCAAAGAGTGGGTGTAACTGGATCCTTATTAATATTTTTGTTTTGTACTGAGCAACCTCAATTGTGAGGAAGAAAAGAAATTAGCTGTAAACTTTCCTAAGTAGTTTAGCAGACATGTGGTTTGGTCTCTTGTGTGGAATTACAGTAACGTGGCTGTGGGAAGATGCCAAACATGCTTCTGCACTGTCCCTTGTACAGCTGCCTTACTTGACATGCCTATAAGGCAGGGGGATTTCACACACGGTTTTCAGCTATTCTTGAACACAAAAATGCCACAAAGTAGGAATATAAATTCCTACCTCTTCCTTTCCTACCTCTTCAACAAAGGTCAGGAGTAACCACATGAGATAGGAGACAGGGAGGAGATGCAGAATGAAGTAATCACAATTAAAGAAGGAGTGGTCAGAGACCTACTACACCACTTAAACACACACACAAGTCAGTGGGACTGGATGGGCTACATCCAAGGGTGCTGGAAGAGTTGGCAGATGTGATGGCCAAGCCACTTTTCATTATTGACCTGAAGTCCTAGCTAACTGGGGAGGTCCCAATGGACTGGAGGGTAGCAAATGTAACACCCATCTATAAGAAAGGCAGAAAGGAGGATCCAGGAAACTATAGACCTGTCAATCTGACCTCGGTACCAGGGAAGGTCATGGAGCAGATCATCTTGAGTGTCATTAGAAGACATACAGAGGATAACCAGGGGATCAGGCCCAGTCAGCATAGGTTTATGAAAGGCAGGTCCTGCCTGATGAACCTGATCTCCTTTTATAACCTGATGAACCAACTATTGGATGAGGGAAAGGCTGTGGATATTGCCTGTCTGGACCCCCAAAAGCATTTGCCACAGTTCCCCATGGAACTCTCATAACTCTCTGGCTGCTTAAGGCCTGGATGAGCATATGATCTGTTGGATCAAGCACTGGCTGGACAGTTGGGCCCAGAGAATGGTGGTCAATGGAGTCAAATCCAGCTGGGGCCAGTCACAAGTGGTGTTCCTCAGGGCTCAGTGTTGGGACCATTTCTGTTTAACATCCTTATTGATGATCTTGATAAGGATATAGTGTGTATTATCAGTAAGTTTGCAGATGACATCAAACAGGAGTGTTGATCTGCATGAGGACAGGGAGGCTCTACAGAGAGACTTGGATAGATTGGATCACTGGGCTAATATTAATGGTCTGGGCTTCAACAAGGCCAAGTGCCAGGTCCTGCACTTGGGCCACAACAACCCCAGGCAATGCTCCAGGCTTGGGGAAGTGTGGCTAGAAAGTGTCTGGCAGAAAAGGACCTGGGGGTTCTCATTGACAAGCAACTGAATATGAGCCAGCAGTGTGCCCAGGTGGCCAAGAAAGCCAATGGTATCCTGGCTTGTATTAGAAATAGTGTGACCAGCAGAAGAAGAGAGGTGATTGTCCCCCTGTACTCAGCACTGGTGAGACCACACCTGGAGTGTTGTGTCCAGATTTGGGCACCTCAATTCAAGAGATATCGAGGTGCTGGAGCGAGTACAGAGGAGGGCAATAAAGCTGGTGAAGGGCCTAGAGAATCAATTTTATGAAGAACACTTGAAGCAGCTGGCAATGTTTAGTTTGAGAAAGAGGAGGCTGAGGGGAGACCTCATCAGTCTCTACAACTATCTGAAAGGTCTTTGTAGAGAGGTTGTTGCTGGTCTCTTTTCACAGGTAATTAGCAACAGAACAAGAGGTAATGGCTTCAAGCTGCAACAGGGTGAGTTTAGACTAGACATCAGGAAAAACTTTTTCACAGAAAGAGTGGTCAGACACTGGAATAGGCTGCCCAGGGAGGTAGTTGAGTCACTATCCCTGGATGTTTTTAAGGGTTGTTTGGATGTAGTGCTGGTGGATATGGTTTAGGAGAGAACTTTGTAGAGTAGGGATAATGGTTGGACTCGGTGTTCCCAAGGGTCTTTTCTAACCTGAATAGTTCTATGATTCCATGATTCTACACCCTTGGAGAAAGAATCAGTAAAATCCCAAAGAACCAAACCCAGACAGTTCTGGTCTTTCTGTTTATTTAATTAACTTAGATATTATACAATAATAGTATCAGAGAATGGTTTGGTTTGGAAAGGACCACAAAGCCCATCTATTTCCAACCCCTTTGTATGGGCAGAGACACCTCCCACTAAATCAGGTTGCTCAGAGCCCCATCCAGCCTGCCCTTGAAAACTTCCCTAGAGGGCTTCCACAGCTTCCCTGTATAACCTGTGCCAGTGTCTCATAGTGAAGCATTTCCTCCCCATCTCTAATCTAAATCTCCCCTCTTCAAATTTAAAGCCATTACTTTGTGGCCTCTCACTATATGCCCTACTAAAAAGTCCCTCCCCAGCTTTCTTCTAGGCTCTTTCAAATACTGGAAGGCTGCTATGAAGTCGCCCTGGAGGTTTCTCTTCTCCAGGCTGAACAACCTAGTTAGCTGTCGTTAACTAATTAGTTAGTAATTAACTTAGTCCTTAATCATTGAACTATTTAACCAGTTGCATTTACACAATTCTGTCCAAAGTCTGAAGAGGAAGACACAGCCAAAAAGAAGGCCTATCTGAATGAACAGTCCTTGAAGATAGATGATGACAACCTGGTCTCAGCCTCAGCAAGTGCAGAGCCCCCCATGGTTTCTCACACCAGAACGGTACCTCTCCAGGCCAGCAATATTTTGTCTAGAGAAGAAGCAACTCACCTTCAGGAGAAAGGCTCTGTTTTGTGTACCATGAAGGAGGAAAATGAAAACCACAGTGCCCCATCTGAAGGCAGCTCATCTCGCCGACCCTGGAAAAGAGAGCCTGTCACTGGCAGTACCAGGTGTGATTCGTGGTCGCAGACTGAGAGCTCTGTTACAGAAGCAGAGAAAGTGGATGTTGCCACCCAGTGTGACAGCCTGCAGGTGTGCAGCTGTGGGAGCTCCCTCCCCTTTGCCCGCAGCCCGGAGGGGGCCCCTCCTCACGGCACAGCGAGCACCGCTGGGGGGCACAAAACACCAGCGCCTGAGGAGCTGCAGCCCGCGGGCACGGGCAGCACAGCAGGAGGACCTGCATTTACTCCTGAAGCTGAATATATGTGTTTACCTAGCAGAAAGACTCTAGAGGTGCTGAGCTACATTGATATGATGAAGGAGAGAGATAAGCAGTGACCAACTAGAGTGGTGTGTAAGGAATACAGAATGTTTGTCTTGTTCTCAGTGTGCTTCATTTAATTGGTGTTATTTGGCATTTCTAGCCTGGTTAGACAAAATATTTTTTTGCTCTTTGCTTGCTTTAAATTATTATTAAGCATGGGTCTGTGTCTGCCTACTGCTGTCTCCAACTATGGCTTTCTATAGATCTCCAGTTGTTAACACAGAATTTTACAAAAGCCTGGTAAATATAAATCTTAGGAAGTAGATTGGCTTCCCCATCATATATCCATAGGATTCTGTAGTTTGGGAATGACTTTGTTCTTGAAGGTAGTGGAAAGATTCTATTTCAGTTCAAGTGGCTCAGAACTATTTTCTGATTCTTATTAATTTTAACAGGCAAGCTGGCCTTTGCCATGTTTGTACTAAATACAAAAAATGGGAAACAATAGAAAATGCACATCTGCACACATAGAATAAAATGTAATTTAAAAAGGACTAATTTATTAATTTTTACTGGGGGAAAAAACCCCAAATACTTAATCTTCCTTCCATAGCACATCTATTGATTAATTCTCTGGTTGTTAATACTGACAAATCTTTTACATGACTCTCTTTTGCCTACAGACTGAAAATCTGAAATGCTTTGCTCTTCATTTCCATATTTCTGTGAAGCTACAACTCACAACAAATAAAAGTTTCTGATAATGTCACTTCTAGCTTATATTCAGTCCTTGTAAAAACGTTTCTAGTAAAGGTGGTAGAGATACTTTGTGTCCGACATCTTCTACTTGGATAGCCATACATGTTTAATTATATATGTGTATCTAGTTATATATACATATAATGCCTGACAAATTAGGTGATCTTCTATGATGCGGTTACAGAGTTGCTGGGTAAAGGAAGAGCAAGTGATGTCATCTGGACTTGTGCAAAGCATTTCACACTGTCTTGCACAACATCCTTGACTCTAAATGGGAGAGACATTGATGGATGGACCACTCGGTAGATAAGGAATTGGCTGGATGGTTGCACTCAGAGAGTTGTGGTCAATGACTCAGTGTCCAAGTGGAGATCAGTGATGAGTGGTGTTCCTCAGGGATGAGTTTTGGGACCTGTGCTGTTTAACATCTTTGTTGGTTACATGGACAGTTGATTGAGTGCACCTTCAGCAAGTTTGGTGATGACACCAGGGTATGTGGTGTGGTCAACACACTGGAGGGAAGGGAGGTCATCCAGAGGGACCTTGAGAGGTGGGCTTGTGCAAACTGCATGAACATGGCCAAGTGCAAGGTCCTACATAGGGGTTGGGGCAATCCCAAACACAAGTACAGGTTGGGTGGAGAATGGTTTGAGAGCAGCCCTGAGGAGAGGGACTTTGGGGTGGTAGTTGATGAGAAGCTCATGTGCCAGTAGTGTGCGCTTGCAGGCCAGAAAGCCAACTGTGTTGTGGGCTGCACCAAAAGAAGTGTGGCTAGCACACTGGGAGAGGCAGTTATCCCTCCCTCTGCTTTGCTTTCATGAGACTCCACCTGGAGTCCTTTGTCCAGTTCTGGAGTCTATGAGAAGAACATGGACCTGTTGGAGTGAATCCAGAGAAGGGCCACAAAGATGATCAGAGGGCTGGAGAACCTCTTGTATGAAGACAGGCTGAGGGAGTTGGGGTTGTTCAGCCTGGAGAAGGGAAGGCTCCATAGAGAACTTGTAGTGGTCTTTCAAGTACCTGAAGGGGGGGCTGCAGGAAAGCTGGGGAGGGACTTTTTACAAGGGCTTGTAGTGATAGGATGAGGGGTAATGGTTTAATACTGGAAGAGGGGAGATTAAGGAAGAAATTATTTCATGTGAGGGTGGTGAGACACTGGAACAGGTTGCCCAGAGAAGCTGTGGATGCCCCATCCCTGAAGTGTTCAAGGCCAGGTTGGATGGGACTCTGAGCAACCTGGTCTAGTGGGAGATGCCACTGCCAACACAGGGAGGTTGGAACTAGATGGTCTTTAGGGTCTTTAAGGTCCCTTCCAACCCAAACAATTCTGTTGTTCTAGAATCTATACATCTTGTATAGATGCTATACAGCATGTGTCTGCGCACACATGCTGGCGTTGGTCATCTGGCCATGTGCACGACATGGTTCATTACAAACTGAGCTTGAGCAAAAGCTTTGCTGAAGACCATTGCTTAAACAGTGCAGGAGATTTGCTTTTATTAAGGTGGAGATGTGCTTTCTCCCTTGGACACAGCTGTTAAAAGAGTCACTGTCCTTATTGCCACCAGGTCGGTTTCTTTTATTTCTACATTTTACCATAACAGGTTTTGCCGACGAAGGGGTGTGTGTCACCCAGCCCTGATGAGATCCTGTCACCACTCTTTTCTCTGTTCTCATCAACAAACTAGTGGCTTTGTTTTCTAACAGCCTTTCTTTTTTAAGCTAAGGGCCATTTTTACAGCATAGTCTACACCTATGCAGGTTTATGGCCACGTCATTTTAGAAGCAGTGTCTCAAAGATTTCAGTGAACTTCTCTGTACTCAGGAGAAAATAGCATTGTCTTTTATAGATATAAATTGCAGACATGGGAAGTGGTTTGCACAGCCAGACTTCTGACATGTGCAACCATCATTTAGCCAATTCACTGCCCACTTCCTAAGGCTTGACATAAGCACATTTTTCTTTTTTTTAGGTTGTCTCAATTTATTGTCAAAGCAAACTCCCTAGTAATTTTCTTTTATCTGAAGCTGTGATGTTCATCCTCTTCACAGGAGCTGTAATTTCCCTATGTAGCAGCTGTGATGTGCTCACTGCTGCTGGTTTGTGAGGCAGAGCTACTCACTCAGCCTTGTGAAGCCTGTTCAGACTGTGCTACACCAGCAGCAGCCCGTGCTGACCCCACTGGGGATATCTCCAAGGGGGACATCTCCAAGGAGTGCATTTACTGTCAGTCTTTCCAGTAGCACGTCCAGCTCCAGGGCCCTCCCTATGTCTGACACTGCTTGAGCATGTTGGGTCCAGCAGCCTCCTGCAATAGGCAGTGGCAGAGGCTGGTGAACAGCACGTTACAGCTACAGGCTCTGGTGCTGTGTGTTTTAGATTTCAGGGGTTTTATTAGACAGACGGATGTAAAACTGCCACATGGACACAGAGCTCTCTGGTGGCTGTGCTTAGAGGTGCTGATGTGACCCAGCCTGAGCCAGACTGCTATTAATGTGCAAGAGAAGTTGTACTCACTCCTGATCCGTGTGAGAGCAGCATCAGTACTGGGATTTTTAAATCGTGTTTTGTTTTACAGTGCAGTGAGCTACCCGAGTTCACGCAGATACTCCCAATCCTCAGAGCTAGACTCCCAGTGGGGTGGATTCCCAGTATGTTCCAGGGAACCTGCTGGACAAATAATGCAGGTCAGAACTGGGAAAAGACAGCTGGTTGCACCGTGTGGACATATGCATGTAGGGGTTTCAGATTAAATCACCCAGCTCAGTGCCAGACACCCATTTTCTGACTGGCTGCAAACGAGAGCTGCACACATGGCTTTAATTCAATAATTCACCACTTGGGACACGTCAATCACTGTAGATAATCATGTTCCAAAGCCTTTGGATGAGAGCGCATAAAATCCAATTACCTTACAATTTTTACCTGTAATTGCAAAGCAATCAGAAGAAATAAAACTATCTTTGTAGTGGTATGTGTGCTGGCAATGATGATAAATAAGGCAGCGAGCTCTTTAGTAATGACTACAAAAGTATTTTAAAGTATTTATATTACTATTACTGCATGAGAGGATAATCATGCTTCCTCCTTATCTCAGTGCCAGTCTCCTCCTCTGCTCAGATGCTTTATTTCACCTGATTTTTCCAGGGCTGGTGGAAGAACTCCAACATGGTCTCATTCCTCTGTGAGCCAAATCCTAAATGCTCTTCCCTCACTCTACTGCTGTAAATTCACATCCTACCCCTGGAGGGCACTCGCTCTGGGGGCTGCAGCTCTCTGGATGTGACATCCGACGGAGCCCAGTGCGCAGGGAGCTCGCACATGGGCTGCAGAGGATGCTGATGGGTGGGAGCCATGGGGAGTCCTGGGCCAAAAGACAGTGGGGTCAGTGAAGATCAGGTGGGAGGCTGCAAGAGACCCATTGTAGTATTTAGTAGAGCTGTGATAAAACATTTCCAAACCAGCTGTGTTTGTGCACACCTGCAGAGAGAGGGCTGTGATTTACTGCCACTGTGTCACACTGAGCATACGCAGGCTGGCTGGGCCAAAGGACCCAGAGCTGTGACTGTTCATAGGACAAGCCAATACATCATATTTCAGAAGACTTACTCTGTTTCTTGGGCTGGGGTAACTCTCAGGAACCAGGAGGTCTGTAAGGAGATTTGCTCTTGAGAGAAGCTATGCTTCCTGCAAACAGATCTATTTTGGAGATGCTGAAGCTGGTCAGGATCTCTGAGCTTGCCCAGTCCAAGACCCACTCAGAGCAGGGCCAAGGAAAAGATAATACATCATATTTCAGAAGACTTACTCTGTTTCTTGGGCTGGGGTAACTCTCAGGAACCAGGAGGTCTGTAAGGAGATTTGCTCTTGAGAGAAGCTATGCTTCCTGCAAACAGATCTATTTTGGAGATGCTGAAGCTGGTCAGGATCTCTGAGCTTGCCCAGTCCAAGACCCACTCAGAGCAGGGCCAGCTGGAGCAGGATGTTCCAGGCCATGGACAGCCACTGTCACCCCATGGCTGGGCTGGGGCTGGGGGGATAAACCACAGCAGTTAGGTGACCCCAGGGAAGCTGTGACTGCTCACCATGGCTGCTGCTGTGGATGGAGGCAGCTGAGCTGTAGGCATGTGAGGAACGAGGCTGGGTGCTGCTGCCCTGCTCTGCACCCACCTCCTTGGAGCACATCTCCTGCCCCTCCTGCCTCTGCTCACCCATGTTTCCCTGCAGCAGTGACAAGCAGCCATGTTTCACCCCAGAACCAGCTCATTCCCGAGAGGAGTGGCAGGGACACCAGCACCAGCCCTAGCTTAGCTC